TGTATTTATGGTTCACTTTGAAATGTTCGAACTTTCCTCTTCCAGTTTTTCAGTGCAATATGATTTCCATGAATCGGAATATATTGTAGTTCTTTTTTCGATGTTTTCTTTTATTGCCTCTAATATAATACTCATGGATCGGTTTGGCACCACCACAAGGAAACATTCGTTTGTTTCACGACAAACTCCACAAAAGATCCACTGTTGTGGTAAAATCCGTCCCGCGTTGTTTTTCCCGCGTTCGTGAACATACTTCAATCCACTTCAAAACGATCATTACCAGGTCCTCCTGTTAAAAATGCGTTGTTGAACGTTTAAGTAAAGAATCCACACAAACCTCTCGCATGTAGTTATTCCAATCCACAACTGTTCCGTGACTGATTTCCAACTGCTTTTTCACACCATTTAACTGAAGTTAATTCTTCACTCCAACCATAAATAAATCTTACACACTTCAAGAAACTCAATCTCGATGACTCAAACCATTGTGCCTTTCCGTATACTTCTTTTACTGCGGCAAGTTGAAAGGTTGCAATGCGCCATTGAATTTCGTTCTCCGAAATATATGTAATTTTCATTTCATGATTATTTATCACAAATAGCAATGTTAGGCAAAGCGCCTTTCGCTTGAAAGAATCTGACGAATTCTTCCTCTGTCCTGGGCAAATCCCAAATTTTCATTGGTTTTTCATCCATTTTTGCCATAGTTGTAAAAAGACGTTAATTTAAGAATTTATAGATGTTAAATTAAAGATTTATAATGCTTTCATGGTATAACCTGATTCGCCGGTTAATATCACGTGATACCAAACGATCTCATCTCACGTAAAATACACGACAAAAATCTGATTCTCTCAGGAATTATCTACATTAATTTTAAGTTAAATCTCAGTATGGAATACGAGTTTAAATGCAAGAATTATTTCAATATTATAATTAAAAAAATTCTATGTAACTATATGCCAATATTGAAAAAAAGATCAATCTGATAAGAAATCTCAGCGACTTGTTTTGAAAAAGTGCCGTGAAAGGTTATCAGCGAAGATATTCGCTTTGGCATCGGGTTCTACCACTTTCGGCGACTTTATCGCTTGCGCTGGCGAAATGGGAAATTGCGCTGGCGAAATGGAAAAGTACCCATATTCATTATTTTGTATTCCATTGCAAACAAATATCATGATTGCAACAAGTATTAAAACAACAAAATCAGATAAAAAATATATTTACGGGTACTCCTTGGTGATTTTTGGCGGTACATGGATACCGAGTTTGTGCAATTCTTTCGCATGTTATTTTGGCTTGTGCAGAGACGATCAAAATAACACGACAAAGAATTGCACAAACTCGGTATCCATGCATACATCGACCTATTTTCACCTAAAAAAAAAAAAAAAAAAAAAAAAAATCCTCAAAGAATTGCACAAACTTGGCATTGCGCACTCCCTTGACTTTATCCACGTACACATCGACCTATTTTCACTTAAAAAAACATCAGAGAATTGTACAAGAAGACATTGCGCCCTCTCTTGATTTTGTCCATATCCACATGGAACTATATTCACTTAAAAAGTCAAAGGAGAAACCAACAAAAAAATATATAATCTCAATAAATTACATTTTAAATCAAACAATGAAATAACATAAAAAAGGAAATTCATCTCTGCACTACACAAAGGAAATATCCACTTACCTTATTTAGGAATTAGCATGTCTTCAGTCAAACATAATTCCTTAACAGCATTCAAAAACTTCCTAAAATTATCTGAATTAGAATCTGTATACTGGAGTCGCCACATAAATTCACAAAATAAGAGTAAAAAATACCCTCCGTAGCGTCGTTATCGTCCGACGTTCGACCATACGAATTTTCTACCTACAAACAAGACACTTAATAACCTTCGTTTACACACCAGCCAAGTACTGCTCTGCTCTCCTTTCTTTCCAAATCGTTCAGAAACTTCAAATTAATCTTACCACATTCAGCCATTTTACCCTCTAAACCACAAAAGAAGCAATATACTTCCTAACCAACATACACCACAAGCCCTTACGAATTTACCGTAATCACGCAATTGTTTATGTCATAATAGAGTTTCCATAACATTCAACTACTCAGGCTACCATAAATGAAACAACAACTTGGCGATAAATGAAAGAACAACGTGGCGATAAATGAAACAACTTCGCGATAATACAAGGGGTACCCTTCTCTCTACTCTAACCCTTTAAATTTAAATCAGTATAAAGATTTAAATTTCAACAGTAATTTCAATTAATAGAAATTTTTTTATCAAAATTATCACAATTTAAAAAAATAATAATGAGATATTTTGCAACTTTTGTTTCCGATTTTCAAATGCAATGTATTTGAGTTGAACATCTAAGTTTTTACCATTAATATAATACGCAAATTTTGATCTGATTTATGATAAAAAACTTATCTTAGTGATGAAATATATACATATAAAAATAAAAACGCAATTTTCCAACAGAATACTATTAAAAACAGTTTTGTTAACATCTGCTTCCACATTTAAAACAATTTATTTTTTAAAAAACTGTTTGGTTATTTGTAGTAGTAATTTTTTATTTTCAAACCATGGGACTAGTTACGTGCCATTTCTTGTTGAACAGCGGTCTCAAACAGAACTGTAGTTAAGAGTTTTCAGCTCCTGGGGACAACTAAAGATTATGTGGCCCCTCCTGTTTGCCAAGAAAATATTTTATTATAAAATTTTGTAACATAAGCTTGGTGCCCCTGGATGCCAAGTTACTGGCCTTAAAATGCATTTGGCACGAATAATTTCAAAAACAGCTGATAGTATAGTTTTTTTTTAAGAAAATTAATTTTTTTGATTTACAAAATAAAATATATTTAAAATAAGTTTTAAATAAATTTTTCGTTTGCCAAATAGTTATCGAAAGATACATAAACAATAATAATATCACAAAATAAAAAAATTCAGATGTATATTTTCTACCTGAAAGCTAAAGTTTGGTACCTAGAAGACATTTTTGTTGATTACACTTCATAATTCTTGAGACTAAATAATAACAATGTAGACCAAGGGTTCCCAACCCTATCCCTGCAGGCACCATGGTGCCTACCACTGTACGATCACAATAAAAATGTTTTAGGTTTCAATAAAATTAGATGTGAAAGTTTTCTCATTTTTAATGAAATAGAAATTGCTTTCAACACTGATACCAGCACAAAGCGAAACGAGACCAATCTCCTTTTTTTACATACGTGTATTATTAACTCTATCCAACTATTAATTCACCTTGAAAAAGTAAATGGTGCCCACCATCCAACAGATATTCTAGAATACGCTCTTAGGGCCAAAAAGGTCGAGGACCCCTGAACTAGTCACTTATTTATTAAATGTTTTCGTCAACGCATAAATAGAAATACGTCTACTTGTATGTAAATAATTATAAACTTCTTTAGTTCTTATTACAGTTTGACATTTGATATTGTTTTGATTCTAATAACATTTATAGCCCTGGAGAAAAATTGCTAGAAATTATGGTCTCGGGTTACAGATGTTCATCAGTCAATTGGGTTCTTTTCTTGTTCATTTTCAACTATGAAAAAAGCTGATCGCATATAAATGTACTCCCAAGATTATTCTTAGTGAAAAAACTCGTAATTGAGTGTATTTTTTTAGACAGGTATGAATAAATGTCAATAAAATCACTATCTTCAAATCTTTGTTTAAGTTTTATAGCCTATTATAAATTTTCTGGCGAGTTATTCATGTTCATTTTTAATAGCAATAAAAATAATGTAAATAAGTAAAATCTTGAAATTTTTGTGAAAAATACATAACTGAAATGTATTCGTGCAACACATAAAATTGCTTTGGGGACTGTTTGCAGCCAGCAGGTCGACAGTTTGAGATGACTATTACAGAAAATAGAATGCTTTCAGTAAGAAAAGGATATTCTCAAATATCAGAAGTTTAATTAACTTTAATGTATATTCATGATGCAAAATTGTTAAGTTTATCTTCTCACAATTCAGGTTGATTCTACAAGCTGCTTCATGAAAACACATCAAAACATTCAAACAATATTCTTTTTAGCACTTTGACCAGTTGGTAGAAATTCATTATGCACAACATCATGACAATCGAAGAAAACAATCACTGTTACCTTGATTTTTGATGATTTATGAAATGGCTTTTTAGGTAGTTTCATTTTTAGGGTAAAATTCCCTTTGTTAAGTTGCTTCTGCACTGAAAGTGTATTATCTATGTTTCATGCTTCTTTCTCCTCCCCTTTGAACAATTCGTGATGTGACACTGCAAACCCAAGTGATCTTTAAACTTGTTTGACAGGATCTAAATGAAGCAGGAGTTTGACCAATAACAGCCCTAATCATTAAATGCCAATCATCAAGCCCCAAATCTTCAAATCTGATTAAAATACTTCTCCTTAGCTAATGCTGATAGCCTATAATAACATGGTTCACCTTCAATGCAATATACGCTTTCATAAATTTCTCACACATAATTTTTTTTTTTTTTTTTTACAATACGTGTTTCTCAAAGAATTTTTTGCAGCATTTCAGATTTTTTCTGTAGCAGAAATTCTGTTGCAAAAATGAAGTTTAAGGCATGTTCTTTGCTCAGTTTACACACATTATTTTAAAAAAACTCCCTAGGGGGAAAAAAAAAAAACCTGTATTTGTTAAAAACGAAAGTATTTGCAAATCATAAAAGGAAATGAAATATGGATTGTTTTTCAGGTGAATTTCCCGAAAATTTTGTGAAAAAACTCTGCATATGATTTTCTCCTACACATGCATATTTTAAACAAATCAGTCACAATCCCTTCTTTTTTTATAATCACGTAGCATTCTAAAGGAATCTATAGATTTAAAGAGAATTTTACACTCTATTTTCAAAAAGCAACTGAAAAAATTAAGTAAATTAACTATCAAATATAAAAAAGACAATCTTCTAAGCAATCATGAAAAATAAAGAACTGAATTCAAGCATGGGAAGGAATACTTTTTATTGCTTTGAAAAATAAATAAATTTATACAGGATGTAAGGAAAATGTACAACAACCAGTCTTTCAAGCATCACATTCAACACTCAATGGAAGCACTGCAAACTTTCAGTAAAAGTTATCTCCTTTCTGAAAAAAAATAAATATAAATAAATAAATAAATAAAAAGTTACAAAAACTAAAAAATATTAGCAAATAAGTCATACATCACACAAATCTTTTCAATCCCTATATATTGCCTGACAATGTGTGATTTAGTACGAGATAAAAGCAAAGGAAACAGAGGATGAACCAACATTCGCTACTCTCTGTTGTTTAAGGAATCCCGAATTTCGAGGCGTTCAACATTCCAGAAGAGAGATGTGTGAATGAAGAAATGTCTGGATGATGACATCGTAAGCAGTTTTGGGAGATGGAATGATTTTACAAGAGCAGGGATTTTACATATTGTAAGTTTAAGCACACGTCTGGTTGGTCTTACTGTGGTATCGCTGCTGAAACACATGTAGATGCATCCATTGCATATAGAATTCAGTCTAGATGGATCGATGAAGGAAATGCAAATAGTCAAGAAAGACCAAATCCATCTAAACATATTATAGAACGTACAGATTGACACATATGTAGAAATGCAGTGGTAGCTCCACAATTGACTACTATGAACATTTTGCAGAATGTGCTGGGAGCTTTGGATGCTCCATTATCTAGGAGAACAGTTTCCTTATGTTTGGATTAAAACAGCTTGCATTTTGTGCCTTTAATGCCATACCAACAATGTAAAAAATTGCAATGGTGCCATTAACGAGCCATTTGGCCATCTGAATGGCACAATGTGGTATTCAGAGACGAATCTCAGTTTTGTTTATCTGGTGATCAGTCACCAGTTAAGAGTCCGGAGGTGTCAGTGAGATAAAGCCTATCCAACTACTATTGCTGAACAGCAATGTAGCATACTGCTTTGGGGTACCATCAGTCATGATAGCAGGTCACCCCTGTTATGCAACAGAGACACGTTGATGGCACGATATGTTGATGAACTGTGCAGTCGTTGTGCTTCCTTAAGTTCAGCAGCTGCAAAATAGTATTTTCCAGCAGGACAAAGAAACACCACACATGGCATTCATTAGCCAACAAGCCTTGCAGCATGTCCCATTGCTCCCTTGGCCTGCGATGTCCTTTGACCTTTCACCGATCAAGCATATGTGGAACATGATTTGTCGTTTGTCTGCTCTGTCCCAGTCGTTATCAAAAGGCAAACTTTGGAGAAGAGTTCAGAGCATATTCCATCACTCAGGATACTATACACAAACTAATTGAATCTGTACTTTGCAGGATTGCAGCTTGCAGTGTCATGATAGATGGTCATATTCTTACTGATTCCTTGCATATTTCAGCACTGTATAAATTTATCTTTCTATAAATAACATCACTTATTTACATATGTATGCTCTGTCTGTATATCACGCTACTGAGAGGCTAACTTCAATGAAGAGAGTTGCTGTTCTAGAACCACTCTTCATTTGATATACAGCTTCCTATATTCTACCTCTTATTACTTACTACTGCAAGCTCCCCATGGCAGCATCTAATCAAGTTATTGATTCACTTAAGATTTCACAACCAAGCTCTCTGACTTATTATTGGTGCAATTACAATCACAGTTGATGTACTTTTACTAGCTACACACCCTACATGCATTAAGTCCATTGTGGAAGAGAAAGCACTAATCCTATGAGAAAAATTCCTAAGGGAATCAGAGTGCTTTTCCTTCTGGAACTATTGCCTTTTACCAATGGAGAGAAAATTTTAAACCCAGAATGGTTTTCTCGAGGAAGTCTTTCCTATCAGAAATCAGCTAGGTCTTAGATGAGAAGCTGAAAATTTTGTAAAACCACAATATCCAACCGTTATAAGAAAACATGCAGTCAGAGTTAATCTGTTATCCTCAAAAAAGAAACAAATGACCAAATTTTAAAATTCATGTCTTTGGAAATCATTAAGGCTGAGATATGCGCGAATAACACGCAATCGTAACACGCAAGCAGCAATCGTAATTGAGATAGGCATATATCATTAAGAATGAGATTTAATAAGCAGAAGTAACACAGATACATAATAATAATTACAAGTTTGGCTTAAGAAAGAGTACAGTCGCAATACAGACACGGGTGCCGAAATTTACATATCACGTTGAAGGCACAATACTGAGGTAGTTACACAGACTGAAGACGTTACTCAGAACCGCCGGGAAAAACTCGTCTTTCCCCGTCAGCCCATAAGGTTGTCAAACAGGTTTACTATCTTTCTTTGCTGTTTCGTCAATTGGTGGTTTTCTCTAGAGTTTTTGGGTCTGTATCGCCTGTTTGGCGATGTCACTGCAATGCTTTATATCCTGACAGTGAATAGCTACGAATGTTTACGAATGGCTGTGTGTTTGCTGCCTAACAGTGTTAATGCAGCCACTGGCATCTTTTGCAAGCTTTCTTCATTTCGCAATCCTGTTAGAAGGAACAGGACTGCTTTTGATGCCAAGATAATGGCCATATACATTGCCTTATCCCCCCAAGTGTGCAGCACAGCATTGCATCAGAGTAAATGTGTGGGCAGGGTTGGTCGGCGACTGCGTATTAAGGTCGCACCTTTTACCAATCCGCATGACTGCCATGAATTAACAGATTTTTCTTGAGCAGGTTCAGCACGGCTTAACTGATATGTTCCAGCAAATGTGAGGAGCAAGATGGTTCCAATATGATGACGCACCAGCTTATTTTGGATTGTTGCTGCATTGATGGTTTGGGTGTAGTGGACCAGTTTCCTGGCCCTTACACTCATCTGATTTATAAAGGTCTTAATTTCTTTTTGTAGGGAGCCCTCAAAGATATCATGTATTATGATTCTGTGAAGTATGAAATGGATTTCGTAGAAGACTCGTCTTTGCTGCTGCAACAATCAGAAAAATCCTTGATGTATTCGACTGTGTCCAACATTCAATGTTTTGTTGGTGTCAGGCATGCTTGGTGACTGATGGTGCAAACTTAGAGCAGCTATTGTAACATTAGAGCTGTACTCATCTCGTATGCATCTGTACCCAGGATATCCACTAAATGTTTCAAATTAATCACTATCTTGTGCCCTTTCTGATCTTCTACTTCTGCTACCACAACAAACCCCTGACATTTCTGGTCATGGGTTGTATGCAATGCAATTCTTAATCCTCTTGAAGTGCCATACCTCCCTTACAAGTTTGTCATGACATTTTTTAGACATCTTGTATTTTCATATGAGCAAATATCGTATATTAAGAGTAAGTTTCGTTTTTCTTTATTACAAAATTATGCATGAAATATACAATATTGACTTTCAAAATATATTAATAGGAGTTTTAAGAAGCTTTTAATACAATTACAAAACATAATTTTTTTATATGTATGATTTGTTTATATTTCTACCTAAAGCATCACAGGTGATAGGTGATGGAGGACAGGTCACCTGGCATCTACCAGAGGTAAGCAGCTATACCTAGTCCTCTACTATACAAAGTTTATTGAAGAATTTAAGAAAGTTACATAGGCATGCAAGGGCTAGATATCAATACAGTGACTTTTTTGAAGACAGATACTGCAAAAAGCATGTCAAGCATACACAAACAAATTTTAAACATTAAAAACACATACTGTAACCCCATGATTCAATGAGCGCCACCTAGCAGCCGTCAGAAGAAACACCAGCCAAAAAAAGACTATAGCCTTCAGTCTATGTACTGGAGTCATGAACTAAGCATGCTGTTTCCCCGAGATTTACTTTGTAACTTAAATGTGTAATTATAACACCCTTAATTGTAAAGTTTTATCTTAATTGTGTTTTGTTAATTAAAAAGGCTATGCGAGTCTTTTGTTTATGTTAGTTTGGTTATAGTTGGCCACTCAACATGCGGCTCAAATGATTTATCCAATTGAGAAAAACCAGGTTTAGTTTAAGACTCCAGGACATCGACTCATATTCTTTTCCAGGTTTTAGGTACAACTTCCACCAGAGAAGGTTTGGAAATTGCGTAAAATATCAGTTTCATCTTCACTTGAAGATAATAGATTTTCACTTAATAAGTAATTAATAAGAAGATGGCAGATTTTTCACTTAAAATAAGCAATATAAAATTCTAATTATAACATCGTTAATACTTTAATAATATGGAATGGAATGTGTCGTTAAAAACGAAACAAAATTATATATAAAGTATATATAAGCTCTAGATGCTTCCTTTTAGATATGTTACACTTTAAGAATTTATATTGTCTTACATTGTTTTAAATAGTTGATTTCCATTTGAATTTCCTGTGTTTTAATTCTACATTCTAATTAAAGATTAATCTTGTTTTCACTGGAAGTCAACACAAGTAAAATTTCGTTTCGGTACTGAACGAAAAGTGCTTACATAGCAAAATGTTATTTTTATTCTAATTGATATATGTTTCTGGTGTGAATAATTCTTTTAGGATTTCATAACTGTATTGTTATCTATGAATGAGTTTCATGTTTTGTTTTATTTTATTTTACGACTAATATTAACGGATTATTTTTTTTTTTCCTCTTTGAGAATAGAAATGATTTAAAGTGAAAAAGGTTTTATCTAAGAGAAATACAGTCAAAATTTAATTTCTTAAAGCATTTAGGATTTTATAGACATCATAGGCATTACTAATAGAAGATTTATCAAATTCTATTTTGGGATTTTATGTTTAATAAATTTGTGCATTTTATTGTCCATTAGCAAGTGTCAAGTGTAGCATTTATTGTCCATTATCCTTGTTAAATGTTAGTTTTGTTTTCGATGTAATCTCAGATTAATGATTTTGTTTTTCAAATATTATGTAATTGTTAAGGGTAATTAAGAAATTCATAAAATTTATGAATATATAATTTTTCTTCAAACAAATATTGAACTTTTCAGTGGACATTGAAGGTACGATAACGTGAATTTTAGGGACTAACCAGAAAAAAGGATGTGCAAGTGTTAGTCACAAAACTGGGTCTGCTCGTCTCAGATAATTTGAAAGTGAATTCAACTCAAAGAGCTAATTATGCACGTAGACAAAAATTCTATAAATTTCCAATTAAGCTAAAGTTTTGAAACATCCACTTTAGTGAATCTTCTAAGTGACGAAGGTAAACATCTGCCTACAAAATGGTGTACTCAACTAAATCGCTTATTGCAAAAATTCAAGAGAACTGCCTCGAACCATGGGGAGATCCAACCCCATGTAGTGAACTTTTCTAGAATCATCTCCTGATTATACACTGCTGAATGAATCATCACGATTCAGTAAAGTCTGAAGAGAATCATCCTGGTTCTGTGCTGTTAAATGAATCATCCCAATTCAGTAAAGTTTGAAGAGAATCATCCTGATTCTGTATCGTTGAATGAATCATCCTGATTCTGTATTGTTGAATGAATCATCCTGATTCTGTATTGTTGAATGAATCATCTCGATTTAGTGAAGGTTTGAAGAGAATCCTCCTGATTCTGTGCTGTTGAATAAATTATCCTGATTCTGTATTGTTGAATGAATTATCCGGATTCAGTGAAGGTTTAAAGAGAATCATTCTGATTCTGTGTTGTTGAATGAATCATCCGGATTTAGTGAAGGTTTAAAGAGAATCATTCTGATTCTGTGTTGTTGAATGAATCACCCCGATTCAATGACGTTTGAAAAGAGTCATTCTGATTCTGTTAAGTTTTGAGCAAATCATCCCGATAGCATGAACTATAAAGAGAATCGTCCTGATTCTATGTTGTGCGATGAATCATTCCAATTCAATGAAGTTTGAAGTGAATCATCCCGATTCAGGAAGTTTAAGAGAATAATCCCGATTCAATGAAGTTTGAAGAGAATCACGTTGATTCTATGAAGTTTTAAATGAATCATACTGATTCAGTGAAATTTGAAGAGTATCATCCTAACTCTATGCTATGCCATGATTCATCCTGATTTAATGAAGCTTGAAGGGAATCATCCAGATTCTATGCTGCTGATGAATCATTCCGATTTAATGAAGAGTATGAAAAGCACAAAAATATATCATGGTTGTCGACGTCGAAAGGTTTCTTACGAACCAGGTGATAGAGTATGGGTGACATTACATCCTATTTGCAGAACACAGAAACATATTTCTAGCTCTTTGCCGAGACGTCGTACAAGCCAAAAGGGGAATCTGTAACCCCACAGCTCAATGTGCACCAGTGGTGGCCGCTGTAAAAAACAAAAAACAACAGCCAAAACAAGACTGTAGCCTTCAGCCGATGTACTGGAGTCATCATGCTGTTTCCCCGAGATTTACTTTGTAACTTAAATGTGTAACTATAACGCCTTTAATGTTTTATCTTAAATGTGTTTTGTTAATTAAAGTTAATTAAAAAGGCCAGGTGAGTCTTTTGTTTATGTTAGTTTGGTTATAATACAGATTTAGTTTACTTTTAAAATTACAGTTTTAGCAATTATGAACAAACCAATGTCAAGGAAACTGTAAGAAACAATAAAAGACAAACATCTTGTTAGTAACAATAAAAAGCAAAGAGAAAATAAAAGTTAGTTCAGCTGACAAGAACTTACGAAAAGAGGATGTCAGAACAAAAACAGCATCTAGTGCTAAAAGAAATGAAAATTTACGATGTGAGACTTTTTTTAAAAAAAGAGGATAAATATATAAACTACAAAAAAGAACTACACATTAAAAAAAAGATTAGAAAGCACAAATTATAATAATTTGAAATAATAAAAATAATTAATAATAATAATTTTAAATAATAATAAAAATCCTAAAACATATATGTGAGCCCCATAGCAGTAATGTGAATAATTAAATTTAAAACAAGATTCACAGTACTTTAGAAAGAAAGAGAAAAATTTTTCTTAAAATGGATTTCTTAAACAAGCACTCACATAAAAATGTACTCATCTAAGTAATTTTTTAATAAATTACTAATTAATTTATAAAACAATATTAAAAGACACAGCTACTAACTCTGATCAAGAATTACATTTCAAAACTAAACTTTTCATATATTACATTATGAAATGGTCAAACATTTATACATTAGTATATTTCACAATATACTAATTAGCTCAGTAAATTAAATAAAGTACTCAAAAATTAATTCATTTGATCATAGAAAGTTAATCAGTTGTAATTAAAAATACATAAGCATATTATGGTTTAATACTGCTTTAAACGATTTAAAATCTTACAAAAGCCTCAATACTTTCTTCTTTACACTGAAAATAAAAAATACCTTTTTTTTTAGGCTCTGGAATGATCTAAATCAGTCATTACGCTGCAAAAAATGCAGTCGGCTCTGTTAGTACAGAGAGTATTGTTTATAAAACGTTCACAGGAAGTAAAATTTCAAGGAAAATAACTACTGGTAGTAACTTAATACAGCCTATGGAAAATAGTACTCGATGAATCTCAGCTGCACTGAATTGATGCCCTGGGCTGAGTGACTTTTACCCGCAAGATAAATGGGGAACAGGAGAAAGGAAAACTTAGTGGAGATAAAGTTGAATGTTACTGATCTGCATAAACAGCACAGATATCAAAATTAAATATTAAATTGCCAACAATTATTATGTTGATCTAGCCTTGCTGCTTAATCACAGGAATTCTAACAATCATTATATGAACATTTTACTACTGGACTTCCTTCTAGAGCTGTTTAGCTTTTATCCAGCCCTTGCCTTTTCTTCATTATATGATTTCAATCAAAATTTTTCATTCCCTTCCTGCAAACTAAATGCCTCTAAGGGACATTAAGCTCCCAACTGAAGACCCTCCATACTAAGAAGGAGCTGGAAATTAATCATGAATCACCTCTGAGAGAGGGTATAACCAACTGCCAGAGGCTTCAGTCCCAGAACACAGACTTATTCAACCCGAACTCTCTCAATGCCCCATCGCTGAACCAGCACATCATGCACTCATCAAACCTCAAGTGTCATAGACAACGAAGACTATAATATTAACGTTCATGGCCATTACGCTACCTACTCGGATTTGCCGAAGCCACTACCGTAAGGGACAGCATAGGCTGCCTTTCAAGCGGTAGGAATTGGGTTTGTTTTCTTGTGCCCCACACCCACTACTGTCATAATATGATACTAAGCCAGTGTATGCAACCTCAGGGGTGGGAGTTATGAACTACATAAAGCAAATTATATGAATACAAACCTTCCCTAACCAATGAGACAAGGGTAATAACTTACAACCATTTGTCCAACAAAAAGTCTAACCCCCTTCAAAAGTGACAGCTCACACAAAATTTCAAGGAATATTCCTGTCACAGCTGTGATAATGGCAGTAATAAACAAATCACAAAAACCATGACTTTCAGACAAAGCCTAAATTTCTCACCTCCCATGGGCGAAACATGTCTTCTATGAACTTTGATTTTAAAGGGTGGCTCCCCAGAGGGGGTGGGGGCACTATTTAGCAGCACTGCCTTTTTAAGAAATGCATTAAAGAGAAAACTGTGTTTAAATGATATTATATTAAATTCATTAAGAATTAATACATAAATATTAAATTCATTATGGATTGAGAATTAATACACAACAAATCACAGCAATACTGATACACATTAAATTGGAATCTTACTGACACATGATGCAATTTTCACTGCTTTTAACAGCAAATGAATAAAAGAACTAGCTGTATCAAGAATAATGCTGGATTATAAGTAGGTAAAGGAAAAATATCGTTGTAGCTTATATGTTGGTTTCATTTTGAAGAAACATGACAAATTTATATCTCATTACCATTATTTTTGCATCCAGGAATAAAAGCTAAGAGGAAAAAAATTGAGAATGTGGGTACTTTTTGATTATGCACACCTCCTGCTAAAAAGTATTTATGAGGCAACAAGCTATTTCATCAGAATAGGCAAATTATGATGTCAGCAAAATGTTTTTTATATGGTAACCCAGGTATGCATCTGCAGGCAGCAGACAGCACATATTTCAATCTTCAAATTTGACATTCATTAGTATTTATTTCTGTTGCATAAACTGTGCTTTTTTTTTCTTGTAAGTGATTGTAATGGGACTGCGGAGTTAGCTGGCTCTGAAAGCCTGAACTTCTCGTGAAACAAGACTTAGGAAATTCATAAGCAGTTTCAATTTTCAAAACACTCAGTATCATTAATGTAGTAAATGAAAGGATACAGGAAAAATGGTATTTTAATTTTTAACACAAATCATTTTGTAAAATATTTTTTCTCAGAATACTAACCTTTATAAAGAAATCTGTGAACTCTTCTTTAGAAATATGCCTTTCATTTGTAAAAACACATTTTTCAATTTTAGACATAGGGCTTCCAGTATGACGTAACCAGTCTTTCCTAAAATTTCAATAAATTAAATTTACAAACTGCATCTTGTAGAAAATATTACAGTACAAAATTCGAGATTCAGAACTGATTGGACTTCAGTGACTCCAGATTTTGGAAATTTTCAGATTTTAGTTCATCAGAGACAAGGTATCTGCTGCCTTGCCTTAGCTTCACTTATTAGGTCAGATAGAAAAATGCTACCACCTCACAAATACAGCTACCCCCAGAGCAAGCGAAACCGATGTGGTCTCTCATGGTCACAACTCGTGTCTTTGGAATACTTTGGGATAGCAAAAATTTTAGAATTTAGAGGAACACCAAGCAGCAAAATTTAGGGATGAACTAATTTTTAAACTTAAGAGAGGCACTGGACAGTAGAATTCATGGGTGGCAAAATTTTTAGAATTTAGGGAGGTATTTGTAGCAGAATCGAGCTGAAAAGAACTCAAGAGCTGAAAGTAGTAAAACCCGGCCAATATCCAATACACTGTTATTAGTCATGGTGTGACACCAGAGCCAGCAGACATTTGAAAGTTAAGATGCAAGAATCTCAAATAGTTCAAAGAAAAATTTTATTTTCAGCTCAGCTGCTTCTTCTTGTTATTATAATTACCCATGTCTAGATTCTGCAAGGAAAGGGATATTTATTACAGTTTTATTTATTTATTTATTTTTGGCTGGTGGTCTGAAGTCCAGATATCAGATCATTTCAGATTTCAGACTTTGTACTGTATTAATAGATAATAATTAAATAATTAAAATAATTATAGAAAGAAAAATAAATAAAGTAATTACAAATAGACAGTTCTATGTAATTAAATAATTAGAGTTAATTATTCTTTCCGATTATAATGACTTTTAGATAGAACACTGCTAATATTACTATAAACATGTTTCAACATTTTTAAAGTTTACTTTGGGCATGAGTTACAACATGATTTAGTACAGTTATATATCAGTAACTAAAATTCTAGCAAAGGAAGTAGGCCACTTGTTGAGGCCTACTTCCTTTGCTGAGAACTTTGATGGAACTTGTTGAGGAAACTATAATGAGTCTGTGAGTTATGCACATTCATTCTCATGTGCACTTACTTAGTCCTTGAATTTCTTAAATATATTTTTCTCTGTGATCTAACTATAATCATTTTATTAATTAATTTATTAGTGATACACTATACTAATGGTACTACAACCTTTCTGCATTCACAGCCTAGAATAAAAAAAAAGGATTGGACTGGGCTATTTGACTATAAAAAAAAGCACTCTGAAACTATCTACTTAAGGAGAAGGGTGCTTTTAAGGACACCTTTCTTATAGAAATAAGCTCCTATTTAGATTAAAAATGAAGAAAGCTATAAAAACATTAATGCAGCCAACTATTTGTGGAGTTCTGAACCAGGATGAACTACCAGTGTATAGTTGTCTTATCCATTTAGCCACCCAAGAGAGGCAGTGGTCTTACTCTATACCTTTAAAAAATTAAAAGTCTTTGCCAGAAGAGTAACAATGCCTGTCTTCTAACTTTTGGAATATTAAAAGGCATCTTATAAATATATGCAAAAATACACATTAAGATAAATGGAAAGACCCAACAAGCAAAGCAAATATAAACACATTTATATAATATTTCAACTACAACAATAGAAAATAAATTCAACTTTCACTTACATTTCTTCTATTTTTTCTTCTTTTCCTTGTATCGTTCCAACAACAGTTCCTTGAGATGAATTCATACACCATCCTTTCAAACCTAGCTCTTTTCCTTTTTCTCTTGTGAACTATTTAATAAAACAATTAACATATATTTCTCTCTTGAAAATGCAGCCAAACATAACATTTGAAGCAAAATAACAGAATACAGTCAATATATTAAACTGAAAATTAAATTTTCATTTATTTATTTATTTTAAATTTGCGACATGTTTATAGTATTTTCAAATATGTTTTGAAAATGTTAAACAGAAAAAGGTTAAAAGAAAAGTAATACTTCTTTATAATTAAATCTGATATAATGTCAATATATTAATAATATAATATAAGAAATAAGTTTCACTGACGAACTTTACATGTATTTGCCCTAATGAAATTAGTCTCATCTGAATTAATAAGGTATGAAAACTTATAAAAAATTTTCTAAGTTCTTTCATTATGCATTCCAAATTCCAAACCCTTTTTATTATTATGAACTATGTTGAAAGAAAGAAAAAGATTACAAAGGGCTTGTGTCTCTCTTCTAACATCAAAGGAACTTCTGATTTAACTGATAGTCAGTGCCTCACAAACACAGTTGCAATTACAAATGTTCCATGTCTTGCCCAGGCACATATCATTGGGACCAATGTAATACTACTCCAAAATCAAACTCTTAACTCCAGAAGTTTAGAATAGCTGAGAGTTTACTAGATTTTCTGAATACATATATTCACATGGCGATATGAAATCCAAAGTATATCATAAAGTTCCACTCATTCTTTTTTAATTATCACAAACACAATTAACCTCAAATAAAATAATACCAAGTTTAAAAATGTGTTACAATACAGTCAGCACTTTAATAAAGAAAATTTGCATATGCACAAAATTAAAGCACCTAAATGCCATTAACTAACTTTGGAATCAACAGTTCTTATAAGATTATTCAAAACAATTGTCAGATTATAACTAGTTTACAGTGCAAATATCAATTTAATAATTCTTTAATATGTGGAATATAAGTGCCTAATTTGAACTTTTAATTCTATAGTGAATGATCCAGTCTCCATCAAAAAGCACAGTTTTTCTATAAAACCACACAACAAACAACACAAGAGTGGAGAGGGGGGACTTTTACTGGAATTACAAGTTTTCAAAGTGCCCACCTATACAATGATAAAGCATTGCGTGTAGGAGATTGTTGACAACAATGATAAACGTAATATTGCAGGAGGAATCCATATAGCTTCATATTTTATATCATCTTTCAATTCTGAAAAATCTCATGGATTTGATGTGTACACTTTAGATTTCAGATAAGCGCAGAAACAGAAATCAATCGGAGTGAGGTTGGAAGATCGCAGTGGTCATAAAATTGCACAGTTGTGGGAAATGTCTTTATTTCCCAAGTGCTGTTGTTCACAAGTTGCAGCACCTGCTGAACACATGTCGCGATGTGTGGAGAAACACCATCTTACATCCATACAAAGTTAATAATATATTGCTGCTGAAATTCTGAATTACATAATTCTGCAAAACTGCTGTATATCCAGCACTTGAACTAAGGCTGAATATACTTGTGATGCCGCACTCTGCAGTCCGTTTAGCATCATGTGAAGGCACTGGTGCCAAACTGCGAGGATTTTCATCAGCCCAGAAAATGGAGTTCTTAGAGCTGACATTTCCAGTTAAGGAGAAATGTGCCTAATCTGTCCATAATATCTGCAGCAACTACTTGCTATCTCCATCATGTCTAATGAGGGAAAAAACTCCCAAAGTTGACATGCTGTTGCTCATCCCTGGGTTGCAACATTTGGATGTGCTAGAAGAGTGCAGAAATGTGAGAAGTGTGGTTTTCAGTACATCTAAATTGCAGGTAACACTTCTTACTGTATACAATGGACCTGAAGTAATCATATTATCCACTTCGGCAAGAACTTCAATAGGAACATATGGTCATCTGAATCACAGTCTATCACATGTGCATTCAAGTCCTACAAATTTTTTTATCAAATCATGTTAAATTTTCCTCCAAAATGGGCCTTACTATTTTGCTGTTAAACTCACAGTGCTTTGGAAGCATTTTCCCACCTCGGACAAAACAACTTTATCAATTCATGTTATTTTCTTGCAAGCGCCATACTGTTAGTACATTCGAACAACTGACTGAAATAACAATTTTCCCACATTGCTTATACAGACAAAATGCTTTGCATGTGGTATTTTGTGATTGGTGCTTTTACTGTCTATTTTTGCGAATTCCGTAAATTGCATCAATGCATCTCCTCTCTGTGTTGTCAGTTGTCCTTTTAAAATGCTCTTCTTTGCAAATGTTTTATGGTGGCAATTTCCATCACATGTCACTCTTGTTTTAAATCATCAGAATTTTGAGTACGTACACTGCACACACACACATAAAAAAAGGGGGGGATAGTTCTATCTCCCATTCTACTGAGCCAATTAAAATTCAAATTGTATTTTTCATGTCTCGAAAGCCTGACTTAAAATATGTATTATATTTATATATAGCATTCTTCTAATATAGGTATTCTGACACAAAATCGAACTTTTTATGATATGACATGCCAGTTTTTTTTCCATATTTTGATTCTACTACTCAAATTATGCCAACTGCCATGTTTTGCAAAAAATCACACAAGTAGTTTTTAAAAAATTAGCTCTCAAAATTTTAGCTCCTCAATGTTAATTGATTTTAATATATATTTGTTCTTTTGATTAAACTTACTTGATTCCTTCTTTCAGAATTTGAAATTTCGGTTCATTCCAAATAAAATTCACCCATTTTTTTTTTATGATTCATTGTTAAAATTTGTATTTTTAAATACTTTTATAAATTTTTCAAAAAAGTTTTTAATTATAACCTATAAAATGTTTACCATCATCTTAAAGTAGATGTATTTCTAAGTATGCATGCAAAATAATTACAGTTTTTTACTCAAAATTTCCTAGGATATACGTGAATTTACATATTGGCACATTTTGAAATTTGGCATATTTGTTATAAGCGATAATAATGCCAAATGTAGTTTATGCACTTTGTTAAAATTAGAATGATTACTTTTTTTCTGCTCGTTTACAATGGAAAAAAAGGAAAGGAAAATAGGTTGCTATAAATTAAGAAGTTTGCTCAGTGAATTAATTACTCTTGGCACAAACTGAAAAAAATGTGGCAAGATAATTTTTTTAAATTTCTCCATAAAGTTCACACCAAATTTTACAATATATATCCTAAGTCACGCTTTCGAGACACGAAAACACAGTTTGAATTTTGTCAATCGGCACAGTAGAATAGGTGATATAGAACTGTACCCCTTTTTTTTTGCACAGTGTACACTAAGTTAGATATATTTCAAAGCAGACATATATCAAAGCATTGTAATTTCAGGAAAAGTCTGATTTAGTGTAAAAATACCTATATTAGAACAATGCTCTATATAAATCTAATATATAGCCCAAGTCATGCTTTCGAGACATGGAAAAAGCAACTTAATTTTGTCAATCGACCTAGTAGAATGGGAGATATACAACTGTCATAGAACTGATATAGAACTTTATTCGGTCATGAGATTTTTTATCACCTGGTACATATTAACTTATAATTTATGATTTTTTTACTGTCGTACTTTCTTAAATAATATAAATGTCACCTTAATGAATGTCAGTTTATAAAATTAATATAAATAATCATACAAATTTAGCTAATAAACGCTGTTTAAATAAAGGTCTTCATGACAGATCCAAAAACCAGTGCCACTCAGAAGATTAAATTAATAGTGCATTTTTACAGAACTGTACAGTAGAAAGATGTATACTATTGTGATAGATATGAGAAGTTAGCTATAATATGTACTACATATAATTCAATAAGCTATTTCCCAAATGATTGATTAAGTTATCAAAGCACAACTGATAAACATAAATTATTAGAAATGGAATGCTATAATCTCGGCTATAAGCTATCAGACTTGCTGTACTTGTAACTCACTTGATAACAGCATTACACATTACTTGTTTCTTATAATTATTAATTTTTCATGTTCTAGCATTTCAAAATTCATCTTGGATAATATGCATTGCAATAATAATGATTTCTAGCATGAATTATATATTTTTATACATTGTATAATATAATATGGGTTGTCAAATGATTGAGATTCTATTGCAAAAAAAAGTTTGAATAAGAAAACCAAATATTTTTAAATATGGGTCTAAACAATAAGTGACAAAAAAGATTTAACTAAGCAGCTAATTAACTTGCAGCAACATGTCTTAAATTAGGCACTTAAGAACAATTAATACATTTGATCATATTTAGAAGGTAAATACTGAACCGTTATCATAAAACATAGTACAGGGCCTATACATATATAAATAAAAAGAATGAATTCCTATTATAATTTCTAGTACTTTTATTTTGATAAATCTTAAAACTTTCCAAAGGCACAAACTAAGCATTTTCCAGCTTTTCTTTAATTGCTAAATAGTTATATTGATTTGAGAAAAACTGTAATATTTATGTTACAAAATTAAATGTTATACATGTTATAAAAATAAGATTCTTTCCAGAACAGAAATGCCTTGAAAATGTTAAAAATTTTCATCAAGCTGAAGACAATTTTCAAAATGGTGGATCACAGGCAATTTCATGAAGCAGTAACTCAATAAAATTTCATATGCAAGAAATTGTAATTAAGAATAAAAAAATGTAAATTAAAACTTAGTTTATTACTCATACTGCCATTAAAGATCTGTAAATAATTTTCATGTACTTTAAATGAAGGATTAAATTTCTGTATTTTTCTATGCCTCCTGTACCATATAAATTTGACAAAGAAGGAGTCAAATAAATTGTTTTACCCACCAAAAATTTTCTATTAGAACTAACACTTCCTTAATGTGGGAGAGGCATATTTTTACAACAGTTTGGGAGGGGAGGAACACAATATTCTTAAGTACTTATTCCAATATTTTTACTCCAAGCTGCCTTAGCCATAGCTGTTACTCATTTAGCACCACCAAGAAGGCACGTGTGAATTAAGGATATCATGGATGTGAGTAACATTGCCAGATCTTTCATCAACTCCATGTAAAGGTTACATCTCTTATGTTCTCTTCCTTGTTATTTAAATTTTTAACTTTTTACTTTTGTTTCTATGTTCATTTATTCTGATTCTTGATTTATTCTGATAATGTTTTATCTTTTTTATTATTTATCATTGTTCTTGTGTGATACTTGAGCTGTTTCATATGTTTCGATTGATCTTTCCAATAAAGGCATATGTAACAACACAACTTATTCCAGTATAAAATTACAGCTAAAATTCAATGAACATAAAATATATATGTGAACAAATAAATAAAAAGTAACTTTACCTTACGAAAAAAGACACCTGAAAGGGGAAAAAAAAGTAATAAGTAAATAAGAAAATTTATAAAAACTATCATATTAAAAAAAATGAAATTCAGAAATCACTTTTTGTATTGAAAATGATTTTATATGGTCCTTAGCTTTAACTTGCATTTAGTACATAAAACACAGAATTTATTCAGATTGTCTAACACACAGAATTCCTACGTTTTACACTGAAACAAACGATTAAAATGTACATACTATTTTTTTTTCCGAGAGAGAATTTGAAGTTTAACAAACGATTAAAATGTACATACTATTTTTTTTTCCGAGAGAGAATTTGAAGTTTAAATGAAGGTAATTTCTTTACATGCTTACAAATACAGCAATACTGCATATGATAGTATACAAAAAAAAGGCTAAAAGAAACTCAATATTGTGTGTATATATATATATATATGGTTATTAGTCATTCTGAATTTATGTGCAGTATTTTTAAATGAGAGTTAATGCCCATCTTGTTACTCATCAGTTTTAGGAGAAAGAATTTTTGTACCTATGAACAACATTCATCCACCAGAAACTGATTACAAATGCTAACAATAAAAGAAATTTTAAATTTGAAAGTGTAGTTTTTATGAAAAGCATTATTTAAAGAATAAAAAATGTCCACATTATTTTTGAAGCAAACTTGATGCTAAAGGTATGCAATCTAATTTTTAATATCTTGAGCATTTTTTTGTTCTTCCTGTATTATTTCCTTTATTCTTTCATACTAATTTTCACATGTCATACAGGCTTGTATAACATACATGCTGTAGGCTTTTTAGTCACTGAAATAGATACAGTCAAAAGTCGTTAATTCGGACACCCATAATCCGGAACACAAAGCTAAAATCTTTCTGCGCATGCGCCGCGTTGACGCATGCTCATAGGCGTTTTACGCGTGCGCGCAAGACAGTTACGACGGTGCATATGCGTCTGCGCAAGCGCAGAATACGTTTTCGCGTGCGCGTTTAATGTATAACGGACGGTATAAGCTAAATTTATCTAATTATCTATTTCGGTTAATGTTGATGGTTGCGTTGTTCCTTAATCTTCGAATTGGATCCGGCTTATTATTTTTTGCAGACTGTAAGAGCAATTTTATAAAAGTAAGCTTGAACTTTCGATTATGTCAAATAGAATTTCCGATGCTGGAGCTCCCAAAGGATCTAGAAAACGAAAGTATGATTCGATGTCCATCAAACAAAAAACGAATTGCTACAAAAAATGGATAAAGGTATATCCTTTGTTTATCTAACCGTTCCGAAATCTGTTTATCAATTTCACGCTGCTCTGCGCGGGGGGGGGGGGGGGGGGGACGTCGCGGCGCGCAATGAACTGGAAGTTGATCTGTCACTACTATCGTTATCTTCAGGGCAGGTGTTTTTATTTTATTCGGCTTATAATTCCTTACTAAATGTAGTAAGTATTTAATCTCGATGTACTCCGTCTTTGATATGATTTAAATCAAATTGCTCGTCATTATAAATATCACGAATACAAATCAAATAGTATTCTGGTTGCAATTTTCTAATTTCGGCTATGCGTAAGGTACGCATGTGCGCGTTGAAAGAAATGTTTAATAAAGTAAACAAATAAATATTAAGCTTCTTTTTTTGTAAATTTTGATACCCTTTAGATCATAATTGCTCATTATTTTATAAATTACGATTTCATATTTTTAATTTTATAATTTCTGCATGCCATCTTACCAGATTTAAACTGATGATCTATAATCCGGAAAAATCGATAATCCGGAATAGCCGAAGTCCCGACGAGTCCGGATTAAAGACTTTTGACTGTAGTACCCAGGACCCAGACATCCAAGAAAATTTTAAAGGGAATGGGATTAGAGACAAATAATTACATCAAATTATTTTATTTAATTCAGGAAGACCACAAGTAGATTATAGAATACAGTACCGCATCAATACAAAATAAAAAATACTGTACACATGCCTTACAAGCATCGATGCATATATTTTTACTTTATTTTAGGAAAGTCTCCTCCCACAAGCATGCCAAGGATTCTGGATTCTTGTTGCTTAACTATTTCTCTAATGGCCAACATGAGCATTTACAAATAACTTCCTGTAAAAAATGCACTTGTTTCAGAAGAACTACATCAGTATTCTTTAGATTTTTTAAGCATATTTGTAGCAGCAAGTATTAACAAGTTGGCAATAGCAAAAGGAGAGAGAGAGAATGCGATGTGTTCAAGATGAAAACCCTGTTCAGAATGATTTAGTTCCAGTTCAGATTTGCCCTCATTGGCTAAACTTATGTTCTGCTGTCCAAATTTTAAATTTTATTGACTGAAGACTTACGTAAGTGTGTTCATCATTAGTATTATGCAAGAATCATATCACATAGACTAATTTTGAAGCAATGAAGTTCAGAGTGATTTATTAGAAACAAATACTATTTTTAAGAAGGAAAGGAGAAACTACAATGGAGAGTCAAGAGACTACAGCAAATTAAAATTATAACTCAAACCAGGAGAAAATGTGGAAAGCAAATACCCATCTTAAAAATTCTCAATATCTTTATGTTTTGCAAACAAATATATGAAAAAAAAAATCAGATTACTTTACATGAGTCAATTAAAGATACAATTACTTTACTTTTCATAGAAGACACGATGTTGCTTTCTTCTGATGGATTACGAAGTTTTAACATGAATACTACCTGATAAATGATTCAACTTTCTCTTTGCTGCTGTGAAGAATGTGCATCACTTGAATTATACACCAATTTTCAGTCATTCATCAGCTCTGGAATGAGTGACTTAGAGTTTAAGAATAAATATGTCATTGTTTCCAGAACAAAAATATCGATAAAAGATAAAAAGTTAGTGTGAGCGAAGAAAATTAAACCAACAGCAAGAATGAAAGAAGCGTTATGGTGTGAAATTCTATAAACTAGGACAATCATAAAAGTTTTTAATCATGGTCCAAATAATAATTTCTTCAGGAGAGGCCTTTTTTAGGGCATGAGAACTTTTTTTTTTTTACATGAAACAAAACAAAAACAAAATATAACACACAACTGACTTGGTGTATGCATAAAGCTCTAGTATTCAGTTTACTTATTTAAGCGGTACTTACGTATTAACGCAACCAGGCCAAAATTCGCATAAATCGCCAAATTTGGCGACCCTACTTACGGCAACCCTACGTGTTATGGGGCGTGTACTACCACAGCAATGGGTTTTCGGTGGAATTTGCCGAGAAAAGAAAGAGACTTTTTTGGTTACTGTACCTAACAGAAGCGCCGTTACCTTCATGGAAAAAATTTGCGAAAACATCAAGGAAGGAAGCATCATTTATTCGGATTGCTGGAAAGGATACAATACAAGCGAGTTCGAAAATGCTGGATTTCTGCATGGAACTGTTAATCACAAATATAACTTTGTGGATCCCAACACGGGTGTTCACACACAACATGTAGAGGGCATGTGGGGCTCAGCCAAATGGCGCAACAAAAAACAGAGAGGAACAGCCCGTCATCATCTTGATTCATATCTTATCGAATTTATATGGTGCCAAACTCAAGCTGTTAATGGTGAAGACGGTTTTCAATCAGCGCTAAAAGCAATAGCCAAAAGATTTCCGCCGAAAAAATAATTCTGCAACTTATTCAAATTCGAAACCGGAAGGGTTTAATTGCTATTTTATATTTTCAAACAAAATAATATAAAAAACTGTATTAAAAATTATCTGTAATTAATAAATGTACATTTTCTTTCTATTCATACTTTTTTACTCAAACTTACAAATCGCGCCAACCTGGTTGCGATAATACGTAAGTACCATTTAAGCTAACAGGAAGTACTTAATAAACTTCCCTAGATGGACAATTATAAAAATACATAAACATAAAAATAGAAACAGTAAAAAATTTTATTTATTTTTCATTTATGTATCATTATTTTTAAAGTTTCATTTGCATTGCTATTCACTTGTTGATACATTTTTACAGTTTTCCTGAAGATACTTGCTTTTTTATTAACTTTTAGTTTAAATATGCAATCTTTAAAATCAGGCAAAATTGCAGCATTAGTTTGGTGCAGAGATTGAATTAAATATCAGTTCCAACAGCAATCACACACATATGTTTCTATTCTTAAGAAGCAAAACAAATTTTACAGAATGAGAGGTGCAACAACTATGTTTATTAATTTAGAAGTCAAATAACAAAAGTCAGCATTTCATTTGCAAATTTTCCAGGACTAATTTCGATGGTTTTACTGAACCATATCAGTTCCAAGGGCAATCACACACATACAGGTTTCTATTCTTCAGGAGCAAAACAAATTTTATACAATGGGAGGTGCAAGAACTATGTTTATTAATTCAGAAATCAAACAATAAAAATCAGCGTTGTATTTGCAAATTTTCCAGGCCTACTTTCAATGGTTTTACTGAACCATCTTCCTTAGCTGCCATAGTGCAAATGAACGAGGTAAGATATGGTGATAAGATACAAATGGTTTGACAGGAGTTAAGCTACTGGCGCCATCAATTGATGAAACAAGAATACTAAAATATAATTTTCTTAAAGGCTGAAGGTAAAGATGGATTGGAATTAAGGTTGCAAACTAGAACAGAAAAAAATTTTTTTGAATGTGAAACCGCTCTAGAAAATTCTAATTCACCAATGGAAGATGCTTTTCTAAATAATTTTGGCTGCAGAAAGATGGAAATTTTTGGACCAACAGTACTGGGCAACAGAGGCCTTCTGCGATTTATTTTTCCTAACATATGCCTTATGTTCTTTAACGTGAAATTTTAAGGCTCTCTTAGTTTGACCAATGTAAATTAAACCACACTGGCAAGGAATTCTGTAAATATCCCAGGAATTTATATCCGGAATGGGGTTCTTATATATGGAACTGGGAATTTTATTAATAGGGGAATAACCAACACGAAATTTAAATTTCTGTAACATACGTGCAATTTGATAGCTAACTGATGAAAAAAGAAAGGAATGACA